TATACCCGCTCTCTTCAATTCCAGTATTCTCTGAAGATGCCAGCAACAGATATTGGTGAAACATCAGAAAGAAACACTTCTAGAACATGGCCACACAGCCCAAAAAACCTACAAAAAACTATGGATGCCGGCCATGAAAGCCTTTGACTTCACAAATAAATAAAACCCCTAAAGCAAACCTTGATTTTGCCATTTTATATAAGGGACACTATTTTACTATGTCATGATACATGATGGGACTTCAGCATCCATGGATTTTGGTATCCACAGAGAGTCCTGCAACTAAACTCCAGTGGATATCAAGGATAAACTGTAAACTGTAAACCCTTAGACCATCAGGCAGACCTGTAGCATGTCTTCTCTCTTGCACACCCCCAAACCCATCTTTTACACACTATATCTGCTGTCACCCCACTCCCCAACATGACTATTTCCTGGACAGTGGAGAACGATCTCTCTCCGTTTGTGTGTATATATAGACAAGCATCCAGCTGTGTTCCTATAGCTGAATACACAGCAATAATGTTGCCTTTGGTACTGTGCATCCAGTTATAGGAACACATCTGGGTGCTTCACTGTCTCCTCCCCTCCACTGGCTAGTAAATAGCTGTGTTGGGGTTGATTCAGCAGCTAAAAAGTGGGTTTGGAGGATGAGTAAGGAGATGTGCCATAGCTCCACTGGATCAAAATTCATAGTACCTCTTCCTTATCCAAGATTTGCTAACAATGAAAACTATAGGAGCCCTGTCCTATACTGTACTTGACTGCAAGGATAGAAGTGAGACATCTTTCTGTGTTCTGTTCTCAATTTATTTATTTATTTAGAGTATTTATACCCCGTTCTTCAGCCCCAAAGGCTCTCATTCACCTTTGTTAGGAGATTATCACACTTCCTCCCAGACCCAGCTTATCTCTTGCAAATTAGAGTCCAATTCAGGCTGGACCCAGGACTTATTGCACGACTTTTGCCCCTAAAAGAACCATCTGGGTGCATCCCCTCTCCAATGTGAATTGGGAAATGCCCTCCAGCTGCCATTTTTCCAAGTCAAAAGCTTCAGGTTCCAGTCCGAATTGGGATCTAATTTGCAAGAGGTAAACCGGGTCTAAGATGAGGTGTGATAATCTCCTTAGTCTCAAAGTAAAAATCTAGATTACCAAATTATTTCCCAAAGAACAATTTATGTTTAGTAGGGATAATAGGCCATTTCCTATCAGCATCATTATTTCCAGAACTCCCCCCCCCCCCAAACAGAGCAAGAGTTTACAAGAGGTTTGGATTTAGTGAGACATTTGTTGTTGAAATCTTGCTTTGCTTGAGATGTGTTTGTCTCTGGTAGAGATTTTTGCATTGCTCCATACACTTGACCCAATGCCAGGATGCTTTCAGTTTCCTTTAATTTGCAAATTGCCAGATTTCTGAAGTGTTTCTTTTCTTTTCTTTTCAGTATTGTAACAATATTGAAGCCATTTCACTCCAAACAACATTTTTATTCCAGATTGTAACATCTGGCATTCTATTTCATGTGGATTTTGAAACAAGCTTTTTGAAAGGAAAATACAAGGTTCCAGAAAATCTCCTACACAAAGTTCTATAAAAGTAAATTAAGTCTACACTTGATTGAGCATGGTGAGGAATTTAGTTTTCGAGAGAAGGTTTTAAAGTGAGATTTTGGTAGATTCACCTTAGGGTTACCATAAGTTAGAAACAGTTTGAAGGCACACACAAAAATAAATACTTTTTCAACACAATTATTTTGTCAAATCCTTTCCACAATCCTCTACTGATATTTCATAATGTATTCAAAAATAATTTTGGTTCTATATATATATATATATATATATAGAGAGAGAGAGAGAGAGAGAGAGAGAGAATAGATAGATAGACAAACAGACAGACAGACATTGGAGTCCCACATTTGATAGTCCTAATGAGAAATCTATGCTTAGGACAAGAGCTTACTGTAAGAACTGAATACACAGAAATAGAATGTTTCCCAATTGGCAAAGCAGTCAGATAAAGCTGTATTTTATCACCCTACTTGTTCAACCTGAACACAGAAAATATCATAAGAAAAGGAGGATTAGACTCAGAGAAAGGAGGAGTCAATATAGGAGGAAGGAACATCAATGATCTAAATATACAGATGACACCATACTACCAGTGGAAAACATCATAGACTTGGGACAATTTCAAAGACGAAAGTGCAAAGGCAGGCTTACTGATGAAAATAAAGAAAAGAAAAAGAATGACCACCGGGGATCTACATAAATTCAACCTAGACGATGAAGAAATCAGAATAGTCACCATAAGTCAGAAACGACTTGAAGGCACACAACAACCACAAATAGGACAGCCTTCACCATCTGGATCTGAGTTTATTTTATTATCTACTACATTCCCCCCCCATCTTTTCCCAAGGATATTTACATTCCCCACTCTGTTTTCTTTCCACAGCAACCCCGAGATGTAGGCTAGATTGAGAGAAAGATTGTTGCTGGCCAAGATCACCCAAGAAGGTCCATGGCTCCGTGAGGATTCATACTTGTCCCCTGAACCTTAGTCCAGCACTTGAACTACTAAAGCACAGTGCCTTTCTGTATGCATCACATTTCAGGATTCTCCTTTCTCTACCCATCTGCCCTTTCTTCGTTTTAGCATGTTTGCCACATCCTTGCTCAAGGGGGAATCCTCATTTTCATTCCCACCCCCAGTCTGAGTTGGTAAGGCTGGATGGCCTCTTTTGGTTGAAGCTTATAAGTTCTGGCAGTGATGACACAGAAAAAGAGAACAGGGGATGATTTAAAGTAACAAGGAGGGTTCTTCCTTCTTCCTTCAACACACAGTACATTCAACTAACATAAATCTGTTTACTGTTATCTTTCCATTCTCTTCTGAACCTGGCCTTTGTTGAGGACCTGCGTTCCCATGCGGGGGAGGAAGAGAATTCATTCATTGATTGAAAGACTTCTAATAATAAATTCTTACCCGATACGGATCTTCTCTGTGCGTTTGAAATGAAAATCCATTGCTTAAAAGAATTTTTACGAATGGTAGAATATGGACTTGTTGGTTATTTCAGTTTCAGTGTCAAAATTTCACATAGGACCTTAAAGACAGCTTCTGGATACATGAACAAAATAAATTACAACCCACTCACCCTAAATAGTGTCTGTTAAGAACATTGCACTGGTAAATTTTTACCCTGTATAATAGAGATTTAGAAATTTCTAAAAAAAACCCATGTGTAGTCTGAAATCACACGCAACTAGGATTTTAGATGTACTAAATGTTATTTTTTTGCACTTCAAAGCACACATGCATAAAATGTGTTAATTTGAAGAGCTAATTTAGCTGAAGATTTAAATTAGTAGCCCTGGTTAGTGCTAAGGAATGTAATCTTGTTATGTTGCACAGCTATATATTACACTTGCTCCATTTGATCTTTGCTTATGGAATAGCATAAGCAAAGTCATCTAAATCTTGCAGGTGGTGTATTGAACAGAAGAAACAGCATTCTTTTCTAATTAGGTTTTCAGTTGGAAATGACACCCTAGGCCATTAAAAGATGTGTTCCTTGCCTAAGAAAACCCTGTGAAATTGGTGGGGTCACCATAAATCAACAGGCAGATTAAAAGGCACAAACAAAAGAGAAACATTTGGTAGCTTCTCCAAGTCTAGAAGGTTAACACTGTAAGGGTCTCCAGTCCCATCACAATGATCAAAAATACAATGGGCCCTTGGTATCCACTGATGATTAATAATAATAATAATAATAATAATAATAATAATAATAATAATAATTTAATTGTATCCCGCCTCTCTGCTTGGCAATCGGGGCGGCATACAGCAAATTTAAAAGACCGAGGTTTGGTTCTAGGACCTTCTGTGGTTACCAAAATCTGTGGATGCTCAAGTCCCATTAAATACAATGCCATAGTACAATGGCGTCTTTTAATAAAATGGCAAAATCAAGGTTTGCTTTTGGGTTGAATATTTCCAAGCTGTGGATGGTTGAATCTCTGAATACATAATCTGTGCATATGGAGGGTTGACTGTATCTTAGATATAGACTTATTGCCGTCACTTGTAGCCTCAAAAATATGAGATGTGCTTGGTTTTACACCATGGGGGAATGGCTGTAACTCAGAGGATGGGCACATGGTGCAGTGGTTTGAGCATTAGACTATGACTCTAGAGATCAGGGTTCAATTCCCCAGTTGAGCGTACAAACCCACTGGGTGACCTTGGGCAAGTCACAGTCTCTCAGCCTCAGAGGATGGTAATGGCAAACCCCCTCTGAAGAAACTTATTATACTTCTTATATATTTTATAAGGCAGCTAACTAAAATGGCCCAAAGAAGATTATTCTATGCCACTTCTTCAGAGAAGTTCAGGATTTAAAATGTAGCAATAAATAAGTAAGCATTACTTGTGGGAATTGCTATCCAGAAGTACAATGAACAATATGAACAGCTCACCTGGCAATAGTTTAAAGATGACTGAATGTGATGCAAACGATCTGAAGTGCATTTTGTTTGGTTCCTGTCTCAGGTTTTGGAAAACAAAAGACTTAAAAAGAATCAAAAAGACTTTAAAATGTGAACAGGTAGGAGAATGGACCAAAAGTGTGCCTATAATATGCAGTATGCCACAGCCATGTCACCTTTGGCACCAGGATGGATTGGGAACTCAAAATCATTGCTTTATGCTAGTTGTGGCTTGAATCTGCAGGATGGGAAGATGTTACTGATACTATATTTCTTTTTTGAAGGTTCTTGTGTCTTCAATAAACAAGCTGAACGTCTTTGGGAACAGTTGCATCTCTTTGCGCCTCTCCTGTTACTGAAGACAGACAATAGTGGCATCTCAAGTAATTTATTTAACAGGCCAGTTAAATAAATCTTTCCTCATGCATGAATGTTATCAACCCTCCTTCTCTTACATTTGTCTCGTATCAGAGTTTTTCCATGGGAGGTTTATCCAAAGTGGGAAAGGAAGCTATTAATGCAGCTTCAGTTAACATAATTCAGCTGGAAAAAAAGCTTTAATATTCTTGTAGATGTTAATATTTTGGAAAAAGGAGGGTAGCTTCAGCGAGATGAAAGAGTGCATAAAGCAGAAGTAGGTTAGCCTTAAGAAATCTGTATTTAAAATTTGATCACGGATCATTGACAGTGCCGCATGAAATCCCCAAATTCTTCCATGTTCTCACTAGGGTAAGTTTTGGGATATCAATTTCTGAATTTATGATACCTCTTCTTCTGGATTATTTGGCCGTTGTTCTGCGGAAAAGTTAAAACTTCTGATAGGGAAGCACAAAGTTAAATAAAAAGGTAGTACCTCATTTTCTGTTGCATAATAAAAGACATGTTATGACATGATATAAGAGCTTAGAAATGAATAGACTATAGAGATTAGGTTTCCTTTTCATTTTATTTTTGGAATGGCGTTTAGGGTTTCCAAGTATTATAAGCGATGTTCCCTATTAGAGGGTTGGAAAGCTTTTCATTGTACATAGACTAAATGAAATGCCAAAAAATCCTGTATTTTGGGGGTATGGGATTCATAAAGACAGAAATGTGTGCATCAGACAACTTATGAATATGGACAATATGTGATTTTCCCCCAGGGAAATTAATGGCTTCGTCACCTGAAATAAATACTTGCATTTTGTATTCAGGAAGAACAGAAACTTATTAATCGCTGTTTCTTGATAGTTAACTCTGAATTTTGACTGTCCTTTTTGGATGTTTTGCAAACTTGGCAACACTAGTCATGTTAGAAATGGGTCTGACAAAATTTAAATGGCATTCCATTCAGAATGGTTACTTGATTCATTAGATTACACATATTGCTGCTGTTGTTACTATAAATATTATTTAACAGCCAGCCAACATGGCTCAGTGGCTTGAATGTTGGACTAGCACTCTGGGAGACCAGGGTTCGAATCTCTGCTTGGCCATGGAAACCACTGGCTGACCTTGGGCAAATTACATACTCTCAGTCTCAGAGGAAGAATTCAAAGCTATAGCCATGTTAGGAATCAGTATGAAGAGACATCTTGCAGCACCTTTGAGACTAATAACTGAAAGAAATAAATTGGCAGCATGAGCTTTGAAGTCTACGAAAGCTCATGCTGCCAATTTCTTTCTTTCAATGAGTCTCAGAGGAAGGCAAGGGAAATCTACTTCTGATTAAATCGTACCAAAAAACAAAAGAAAACAAACAAACCCCAAAACAAAACCCATGATAGGTTCTTCTTAATGTCACCATAAACTGGAATTGACTTCAAGGCACACAACAACTAAAGTAACCAAATTCTGGGTCAGGAAATACTTGGGAATGGATTACGTACTCTAAAACAACCACCTAAATGCCTAAAGGCACCAGATCCTTTCTGATTTTGAAAGCTAAATAGAGTCAGCTCTGGTTTGTACTTGGATGGGAGATCGCCAATGAATACCAGGTGCTATGGGCTATATTTCAGAGGAAGGAAGGGGCAAATCCAGCTCTGAGCATTCCTTGTCTAAAACTAAATTAATGGGGTTGCCATAAGTCGACAGGCGACTTGAAGGCACATAGATAGACAGATACTTGGAGTATGCTACAAGCCCTTTTTGTGTGTGTGTGGTCTATGTGTTCTGAATATAGTACAGAGTGTATATGACTCACTGTATACAGTGTACATTACTATACACTGTACATACAGTGTACATTACTCACTATATATATATATATATATATATATATATATATATATCCTCCAAAAATGGTTGCAAACCTCAGCAAACCTGTAGCAAGGAATTAATACCCCCTGTGTCCATCAGTTCCTAATGGATATGCATTCACTAGCCCAGGACAGGAGCAGTTTGCCCAGGGCATTGCTACATTGGAGATTGGAGTCCAAGTAATTAGTGGGAGCATTAATGGGCATTACAGCATCATTAGCATCAAAGCAAGTGACCTTGGAATCCGCCAACTTTCTCTCTTTTCCCAGGGACTAGCATTTTCAGCACCATCTTTCTTGTAAACATCTTCTTTTCATTCTTTCAGAACCACATTCTGAAATTCTGAATTCTCACAGAAGGGTGTTGTGAACAATTAGCTTTTTAATAGAGTCCTCTGGTCCATAAATGTGGTTGTTGTTGTTGTTGTTGTTGTTGTTGTTGTTGTGTGCTTCGCGTCATTTCTGACTTATGGCAAACCTATCATGGCATTTTCTTAGCAAATTTCTTCCGAGGAGGTTTGCCATAGCCATCCCCTGAAGCTGAGAGAGTGTGACTTGCCCAAGGCTAAGCTGGGAATCGAACGCTGGTAATAGTCCAACACTCAAACCACTACACCATACTGGCTCTCCTCTTATGCCACAGTAAACTTGTTAGTCTTTAAGGTGCTACAGGGCTTGTTGTTGTTTGTTGTTTGTTGATAATGCCCTGGGCATGGTCCTGCTGTCTTATAGTTCACTAAAGTTCAGCCAAAGGAAACTGTGGCTTTGGAATATTTTTTCTGGTTCCCACAAACCGTACATGTGTTTAGTGTCGGAAATGATATAGGCTGCTGCCACACTGCACAATTAATGCAGCTTGACACCTCTTTGATAGTCGTGCCTCCATCCTATGGGATCCTGGGATCTGTAGTTTGTTGTGGCACCAGAACTCTCTGACAGAGAAAGCTAAATGTGTCAAAACTACAAATCCCAGACGCCCATAGCACTGAGACATACACTTGAAGCGGTGTCAAACTGCATCAGTCCTGCTATGTAGATGCAGCCACAGTGATATATCATATATTGAATCTGAATTAACATGGCTTGATTTTTTTCCCCACCAATGGTTTGAAATCTGCTACTTAAATTGCATGCTTGTTTCAGTCCAATTAAATAGATGCACCAAAGAAAAAAAATATGTTCATAGATTTTAGTGGCGGTTACTATTTCCCTTATTGCATTTACAATATTTTGAGGTGAGGTATCATAGGTTATGATGAATTCATTGTGTTGCTTTGAAAGTCCCTTTAGGACCTGTTGTAAGTGTTTGATGCCTCAGGCTTTCAGTCGCCATGTAGTTTAGCATCCACAAGAAAAAGTGGTACTGCTCTTTCTTATGTCTTACTCCTGAAAGTTGAATCTACAACTCTAATATAATCATATTTAATTCTAGTCAGTCTCTTTTGCTACCCCAAATCCTTTATTCTTACTAGATCAAACTAACAGTTTCAAAACAAAATTAATTTAGCTTCTAAATTATCACACCATACCCCCCAACTGTCCCAATTTGGAAGAGACACTCCAAATTAATTCTCTGACATTTCACTTTTTCAGCTGTTTTTAAAAGTGTCCCAGTTACTCCCTTCTCCTCCCACTTTCCTCATTTGTCCTCATTTTACTCCAGTTGCCAGAAATTGAATACAAAAGTACAAAAGTAATCTGTACTAAATTAATTTGGTGGGGCAGAATCTTACAATTCCCAGTAGGTTGGGACAAAAGCAAACTGCTGCAGCCTCACCAATGTGAATCCTTCCTCATTAATAACGTATGCCATCTGAACCATCCTTTGGTGTTTCTTGGCCACACATATCCCAATTTTTGGGCTGGCCAATTGGCCGTAATAAAGAATATATATATATATATCCCAATTTTCATCTGTGAAATGTTAGAGGATAGGCCAGATGGCCAATTATTAGCTGGGGAAACACTTTTACACTTTGGAATAATCTGTGCACTATTGAAATCCAATTTTGCTTGCTCATAACAGAATACAGCAAATTGATAACAATGGATTCCCCAAAGGGGAATTTTCAAAATTATGAGTCAAAATAGTTTCCAGAGTGACGCCAAAAATAATGACCAGTAAAGAGGTTGGAGAGCATTGGATTATGACTCTGGAGACCAGGGTTCAAATCCCAGTTTGGTCATATAAACCCACTGAGTGACCTTGGACAAGTCACATGCTCTCAGCCTCAGGGGAAGGCAATGGCAAACCTCCTCTGAACTAATCTTGCCAAGAAAACCCCAGGATAGGTTCACCTTAGAATCGCCATAAATTGGAAATTAGTCTCAAAGATGCTACAAGATCCCTTTGCGTACTGATGTTACAGACTAACATCTCTCTGAATAGTATCCCAATTCATCAATCACTAATTCTTGTTTCCATTTCTCCTGGCAGGTTTCAGCTTGCTTCAGACACAACCAGATGCCGCATCTATAGAGTGTGAAGAGCCAGGTTTCGGCCATTGTTCTTTTTTTTATTTATTTTTATGCCTGAAGAGATTAAAATAAATGAAATTGTGCAACCAGAAGATGGGATCTATTGATTGAATTGGCTGTAATTGAAGTATACTGTATATGCTTTTGAATTAGAAAAGAAGGCGAGAAACAGTAAGTATATTTTAAGTAGATGTTGCATAATGAAAAGTGTCTGGGAATCTGATGAAATAGAGTCTTGATTGCAAAATCACACGCCATGGGGAAGCAAGTTTGTTTGTATATTGCCACATCCCTGACTTTTATTATGAATTCTTCTGGAATCTGTTTACTTTAAATCAAAGTTGGGCTGATATTTGAATTGAATCATAATACTCCTATCTTAAGTGAATCATAATACTCCCCAACATTGGTTTACCAGTTCATTTTAATTTCCGGAGAAACAGAGTTTAATCTGGATATCTTAATACTTAAGGCAGAGTGGGCCTTCCAAATGTTTGGACTGCATTGCCCATCATCCTTCGCCATTTTGACTAGGACTGTTGGGGACTGTAGTACAGCCACGCTGGGGAGAGGCACAATTTGCCCACTTTAAGGAATAATGAATTGGTATTAACTATTTCTGAGTATGCACACTTGCTTATGAACATAAGAAGTACCTTATTGCCTGGATGAGTTAAAAGATTATTCAGACCACCTTTAATAAAAGCAAATCCAGCAACCAGCAGGCACTAAATGATTTACTTGAAATTGACTGCTGTTGTTGTTGTTGTGTGCCTTCAAGTCATTTCTGACACATGGCAACCCTAAAGCAAACTTATCATGGGGTTTTCTTGGCAAGATTTGTTCAGAGGAGGTTTGCCATTGTCTTCCCCTGAGGCTGAGAGAGTGTGACTTGCCCAAGGCACATAAATTTCCCCCCACTCACCAGCACTAAGGACACAAACTGTTTACTCTTATATTATGTGAGGATATGTAAACTCTTTACAGCAAAAGTATTTGGTATAATTTAGATTTTGGAACATGCATATTTTAACAATGCACTGAAGAAGTGGATCCTGAAGATTTCTGCTCTTTCAAAACTTCAGCAAAGGTTGGTGCTCAGTTTGTGCCCTGAGCCCAGCTTTCATGCAGCTACCTAGATGTATCTAACAGTGAAGGACCTAGTGAACATGCAGAAACATCTGTACTGTGGAAGGCATGCCAGTGTTACAGGAAATAGCATGACTTTGGCTGCATCCGCACTACAGAAACAATCCAATCTGATACTACTTTAACTGCCATGATTCAATGTGATGGGATTCTGGGATTTATAGTTTGTTGTGGCCCCAGAGCTCTCTGACAGAGAAGGCTAAATGTCTCACAAAACTACAGTTCCCAGAATTCCACAGCATTGAGCCAGGACAATTAGAGTGGTCTCAAACTGGATTATTTCTGCAGTGCAGATGCAGCCTATGAGATAAATTACCAGTGTTGCATCATAGGTGTTCACTCTTAACATAGTGTGAATGGCTAACACGCACAAATAAGCAGCCTATATTAATATACACCAGCCATAACCTTTTAACTATGAATTGTGACTTTCTACTGAGTGAATTCAAGCTAAAACTTAATGCTAGTATGCTGTATTATGGAAGTTTTGATTATTTTAAACGGGGAAAGATGCAATAGTGGGGGAATGATTGCAGCAGCAGTGATTTGAGTATTGGCTATGGTTTGATTCCCTGCTCAGGCATGAAACCCACTGGGTGACCTTGAG